TATTTATTTATTTATTTATTTTTATATGAAACGGTGGGCATGGATGGATATTATCTTAGCAAGATAAATATGAATATTTTTTAAGTCCTTGTTATAGTTAAGCAACACTTGAGTGATTATATCAATAACTTAGGGTATATTTTGATCAGCTTAATCATGCACATAAACAATCATTTTCAACCAAACATATTACTTGATATTATTTCCAAATACACCCTCGATTCACAAGAATTTGATGATATATATTTTATTTATTTATATACAATATTTAGTTTTTAAGTCGAAACTCACATGCAATTATGGAAAAAGAAAAAACCTAAAGCACGACGATAATTCTCATAATATGTGAAAAAATGGGAGCGAGATGAACCATGAATGGGCCAGTTTTGGCCCAATACCTCACTGATTTTCAAAAAAATCTTTATATTGAATTTCTTGAAAACAAAATTTGATTCTCATACAAATCAAATGATGAGTACCAAAGGCATAATATTTCTTATCATGAGAAACTATTTTATTTGGACATGTTTGATGTCAATATACTTGTAAAAAAAAAATTATGTATAAAGGCCTCGTGATAATTTATAACCTAGGGCCTAAAAATTTCTAGGGCCATTTATCATAGCCCCCCTGAATTAAGTCAATTTGTGCATGTTTTGTAACATATTTACACTGGAAACAATCAAACTGTAAAATGAAAGATTTTTCTGCATGACTAACAAGAAGAATAAAAGTTTAGAGCACCAGAGAAACACAAAGATATAAAGATAAATAATAGTTCAAATCAACACAAAATAGTAGTATTACTTCAAAGTTATTAGATGCTCCTACTGTCTAAGAGCCACCTATCTCTTAAGTTTCCGTAAGGACTCCATCATCGATAAATTGATTTGGGTTCTCAACCGTTGCATTTTCCTTGCATTTCTGCAAGCACGTAACATTAATGTAAAATTTTGAGCCTTTTTTCTGGAAAAATATTTTATGCACTATTTAAAGCTGAACTACTATCAAGTACGGATCGAAAAGTTCAAATTCCATCTAAGCATACACGGCGTTGGAACCGTACCTGTATATCATATAATAATTTCCTCAATTCGTTTACTTCCCTCGTCATGACTTCGATATCAACATTTACCTCTTTGAGCTCTTGATTTACCTCCTTCAGCTCCTGATTTACCTCCTCCAACTCCAGCTTTAACTCTTTCAGCTCCAGATTTACCTCGTTCAGCTGCAGATTTACCTCTTCCTGTTCCACATCTACTTCTTTTATTTCCTGTATCACACAACAAAGTATAAAGTATCTCTTAAAATGTCATTAGTTTACAGAATTCAGTCCATTTTACCACTTCAAATTATCACTCAACCCCCTAGTTCCAGCATCGAATTAAATTGTATCAATAGCATCCTAGAATTCAAGATATTAAATTGAACCTCGGGAGGATAATATTGGTGGTAGAGGTAGATAAAAATCCTATTATGATAACTCAAAGGAAGGAAATTGCACCTACTCCGCCAACAAAACACACCAATTGCACCATGAGACAAACTTCTTAAGATATTATCACTGCAAACCATCATCCAAATTCTGCAACAACAAAACTATAGATGTTACAATCGAGTTTACATAACTCAAGCTATAGGGTCAAGATTGCAAATTGTCTAGATTAAACAAATTAGGTGCAACTGGAGAATATTTTACACACCTAGATTAAAAGATTGGTGATGAAAGTTTCTAGGTTTACAAGTTTTCTTTTACTTTCGGGTCCATAATAGAACAATTAAAACGAGAAGAAAATTAACAATGGAAGTGTTAGCCTTGACAAGTTAATAATTTTGTACATTATGGAAGCATCACATGATCATGAGTTGAGTTCATCGAAAATAAATAGTATCCGTTTCAAGACTAATACCAGAATGGGTGATGCTTAAAGTAAATAAAAATCTAAGAACAATGCATAGAAATTGTACATAGGGATGCCCACGCCCCCTCGCATGAGGTGGGACCCGGGCGAGG